CGTCTCAAAAAAAAAAAAAAAAAAAAAAATCGAGGGGCGCAAGTGCTTCACAACCTGTAAATCCCAATCTTTGGAAGGCCGAGGGGTTGGAATCATGAAGGTCAGGGAGTTCAAGACCAGGCCCCTGGCCAACCCATGGTGTAAACCCCGTCTCCTACCTAAAGAAGCAAAAAATTATAGCTGGGCCCGTGTGGGGTCCAACGCGCCATTGGTAATCTCCAGCTTACTCGGGGAAAGGGCTGGAAGGCAGGGGAGAATTGCTGGACCTGGGAGGCGGAGGTTGCAGTGAGCCCAGAGAGCACCACTGCACTCCAGCCTGGGTGACAGGGCGAGACTCTGTCTCAAAAAAAAAAAATAAATTCTTAGATTTTATTCTCCATTCTACTGGAAGAGACAATGGAAACCTGCCATAATATCTAGAGCAATAAGAGGCGTTGAAGTAATCAGCCAACACTACCTGCTTCTGTCCAAACACAGAGCCGATATTTTCCTTTATGCTGGGGCTTCCACCTGTGCACACCACAGGCTGTCGTTTTCCTTGTCCAAGCTGATTGGTGCAACTTACACGGATGCCTGCTGAAATGATACAGTAGGCCTGTAAGACCTGGACCATTTTGGCATATTCCTGTTTAAAAAACACAAACACAATATTCTACGTTACTTTAATATTATAGGAATTACACAGCTCAAGTTATAACATCCAGTGCAAGGTTCTCACATCATCGCACAAATCAAGGGAAGCACTGTTGACAGAATGAGCTGTAAAGAGGTGTCTTCCTATATTCTACAGAAGGAATGCAGAGCTTTTGGCTCCTGGTCACAGTCCTCTCACTTCCCAATGTGCCATGTGTCCTGGTAAAAGTACAGCCTGCAATCCCGGCTGCTCAGGAGGCTGAGGGTAGGAGGATCACTTGAGACCAGGAGTTCAGGACCAGCCTGGGCAACACAGCAAGACCCTGTCTCTACAAAAAATTAAAAAAAAAAAAATTAGCCGGGCGTCGTGGCATGCACCTGTAGTCACAGTTACTCAGGAGGCTGAGGTGGGAGGATCACTTGAGCCCAGGAGTTCGAGGCTGCCGTGAGCCAAGATTGCACCACTGCACTCCAGCCTGGCTGACAGAGAGAGGTCCTATCTCTAAAAATGAAAATTTAAAAACTGAAACGTACATTGTGTTTGATTTTATAATCTCTCCTTTTAAAATGTATCTTTGTATAATAGAAAGACTGGCACAAGCATTCTGATATTTGAGACCTGCCTGGGCAACACAGATGGACCCATCTCTACAAAAAATACAAAAATTAGCTGGGCATGGTAGCACGGGCCTGGAGTCCCAGCTACTTGGGAGGCTAAAGTGGGAGGATCCATTAAGCCTGGGAGATCAAGGCTGCAGTAAGCTGAGATTGTGCCACTACATTCTAGCCAGGGTGAGAGAGCAAGACCCTGTCTCAATTTAAAAAAAAAAAAAAGCAAAAAAAACTTTCAACCACATACAATTCTGTATTACTTGCATGCTGTACATTCTGTATTACTTGCTTTCACTATATTAACTTATGAATGTATCTTGAAAATTATTCCAACAGTTACAAACACATGAAATTAAAAGGAGTCTGAAAAGATATACAAACTGTAAGTAATGGTTATCTTTAACAAACGTAAGTTCTACATTCCTGTATTTTGCTAAGGCACTAACTTTTTTACCATAAAATACAAAAAAAGAGTAAGTTTTCTCTATTTTAAAAAATTTCAATTTTGAAAAAATGTAATAAAGTTAAAATTAGCAGCCGAGTGCAGTGGCCTATAATCCCAACATTTTGGGAGGCTGAGGCAGGCAGATCATTTGAGGTCAGGGGTGCAAGACCAGCCTGGCCAACATGGTGAAACCCCATCTCTACTAAAAACACAAAAATTAGCTGGGCGTGGTGGCGCACACCTATAATCCCAGCTACTCGGGAGGCTGAGGCAGGAGAATCACTTGAACCCAGGAGGCGGAGGTTGCAGTGAGCCGAGATCACACCACTGCAATCCAGCCTGGGTGACAGAGTGAGAAGACTCCATCTAAAAAAAAAAAAAAAAGTTAAAATTAGCACCAAATGCTTTACAGGTTAAAAAAAAGTTTTTAGCTGCATATGTTTAAATAACTTTTTAGATTATAAAAAATACACATACAAAACAGGCACAAAGAAGACAGCAAAAACTGCATGGGATCTCACATCCAAGGATAACCGCTGAGAACATGAAAGTGCTGACTCTTCCAGCCTTTATACTATACACATCTAGGCCTGTTGTTTTGTTTTTATAAAACTGTAATCATGTAATACAGACAGTTTTATAATCCGCTTTTTAAACACAACAATTATATAACATTTAGCTGTTTTCATTTGCATTCAAATTCATAAGGGTTCCAATAACTCGTTTCTCAGAAAACCAAGAGAAATATTCCTTTTTTTTTTTTTTTTTTGAGACGGACTCTGGCTCTGTGCTCAGGCTGGAGTGCAATGGCGTGATCTCAGCTCATTGCAACCTCTACCTCCCAGATTCAAGTGGTTTTCCTGCCTCAGCCTTCCCAGGAGCTGGGACTACAGACGCACGCCACCAGGCCCGGCTAATTTTTGTATTTTTAGTAGAGACAGGGTTTCACCACTTTGGCCAGGATAGTTTCGATCTCTTGACCTCGTGATCTGCCCGCCTCAGCCTCCCAAAGTGCTGGGATTACAGGCATGAGCCACGGCGCCTGGCCAATAAATATTCTTATTAAAATGTAAGTACATAAGGCCAGGCCTGGTGGCTCACGCCTGTAATCCCAGCACTTTGAGAAGCCGAGGTGGGTGGATTACCTGAGGTCAGGAATTCCAGACCAGTCTGGCCGACACGGTGAAACTCCGTCTCTACTAAAAATACAAAAATTAGCCAGGCGTGGTGGCACACGCGTGTAATCCCAGTTACTTAGAAGGCTGAGGCAGGAGAATCGCTTGAATTCGGGAGGTGGAGGTTGTAATGAACCGAGATTGGCCACGGTACTCCAGCCAGGGCACCAACGTGATACTCCATCTCAAAAAAAGATAAAAATAAAAAATAAATATATACGTATATATATTTTTCCAGACAAGGTCTTACTCTGTCTCCTAGTCTGAAGTGCAGGGGTGCAGTCATAGCTCACTGCAGCCTCGAGTTCCTGGGCTCAAGTGATCCTCCCACTTCAGCCTCCCAAGTAGCTAGATACTACAGGTGCATGCCACCATGCCCAGTCAATTTTTTTTTTTTAATTTTTCATAGAGACAGGGTCTCACTATGTTGCCCAGGCCTAATAAACACTACGTGATGAAAAGAAAAAAGTACATCATCCTAAAGTCTTTAATGTTAAGTCTTTAATGAGAAATGCAAATAAATCATGTCTCAGTAAATTACGGGAAGAGAATCAACAGCACAATAAACATCTTTAGTAAATCTTTTGCTCACGTGCATTAACCAATACTCTTGAAAACCAGGATTAATTTGCTGTACCTTCTTAATATTCCTTTGAAATTCCTTATGGCGCACAGGTAGTGTAGAAAATAACTGCTGGACGCTGACTGTGGTCCCTCTGGGGCGGGGGTAGGGGGCTTTCTGGATGATTTTTCCATTGTGATCAAACACCAGTCGAGTCCCAACCTTCGCCAATGCGTGGCAGGTGGAAATGGTGACGTCGCTGTGAGAGAATACCAGGCATGGTGTGTTCAGTGAGAGGCCCATGATGTTGGGCACTGACTCCTCTTTCCTTCGTTTGCTTTTCCCTCAAAACTTTCCTAAAAAAAGCTGATGATCCCTTTGAGATCATCAAGATCTAAACGGTTGAGGAGTCATCATAAAATCTAAGGTTTGGCATCTAAAAGACAGTGAGACAGAGAGCACTAAACATGCTTTGTTTTCATAAGAGCTTTGATTTTGTTTTTCAGCTTGAACTGCAAAACCGTCAATGATCTCAAGATTCATTTATTCACAAATAGAGATTTGTTTTGTTATTACTCTTCGAACAAATTTTTTTAAAACAATCTAAAATACATTATAATTAAAATGTATATGTAGGGCAGAGTGCGGTGGCTCATGCCTGTTATTCCAGCACTTTGGGAGGCCGAGGCAGGCAGATCACTTGAGGCCAGGAGTTCGAGACCAGCCTGGGCAACATGGCAAAACCCCATCTCTACTAAAAATACAAAAATTAGCCAGGAGTGGTGGTGCATGCCTATAGTACCAGCTCCTCAGGAGGCTCAGGCACGAGAATCACTTGAACCTGGAAGGCAGAGATTGCAGTGAGCCAAGACTGTGCCACTGACTCCAGCCTGGGTGACAGAGCAAAACTCTTTCTAAAAAAACATATATATATACACACACACATATACACACATACATATATATATTTGTATATAATTATGAAAATTTAGTATCTGTGCTATAATTAAATAGTGCTTTGGTTAAATGTTTCCCTAAAAACTGATAATGAAAACCAATGGTAACTATCATTTATTATCTATATGTTATGTTAAAATTGAGAAGTTACTGTTTTAATAAGGGTAACCATTTTTTTAAACAATACTATTTGCTTCATTTCATTTATTTATTGCTCACATTTCAGAAGTACTATGACTTAGATTGGCAGCGAGACAAAACAGAATTCAGAAGCTAGAAGTTGAGATGTTGAGATAGAAAACTGTAAAGAATAACGATTCCAATTAATTTTCAGAGAGGTTTTTCTAAGGGGTCAAGTGAATGGATAAAAATATTGTATCACCTCAGTGCACAAAGTGAGCTCAGAGCTTCCCCCCGAAAGCCAAAAGTTTCAACCTGAGTTAGGTCAGCAAACTCTTGAATCTTAGATGTGTGATGTTTCAGAGCTGAAAGACAGTGTAAAGTAAGGATTAAGATATCTCAAGTGCTATAACAACAAATATACATGGTATCTAGTAACTGGCTTTAAAAAACTGCTTTTGCGTTTCCCAAGACAGTGTTACTCACAATGCTGGGACATGTGGCCCAATTATTTTATAATAGGATCAGAAAAAGTCAACTTACTTAAGCCTTCGAAGTTTTCTTCTTCTACCCCACATCCATTGTCTGAAACTTCAATGAGATCCACTCCATAGTCCTTAAGCTTTAGATCTAGAAAGTTTAAAATATTTACATATTTATTAAAAATGGACCCATGCTATAAGTTTTTACATTGACATTATTTATAACATATGCAAATTTAAGAGTCATAACAATACCTTTAGTTACATGTACTAGTGTCGTTTTGTATATTTCATTTTTATAAAGTCCTTTCTGGTTATTTACTAGCCTAGACTAAATAGTTTAGCTTTTTCTTTCTTTCCTCTTTTTTTTTTTTTTCCCCTTGGGTTGTTCAGTTGAGGCGTTTGGGTTGGAAAGGGACCAAAAAAAAAATCTGTAACTGGTTGTGATCAATTAGTTGTAAAACCGTTGCACTTTGACCAGCCTTTTCTTTTGAAAGAAATAATTTTAACATACCCAGTAAAGAGAACAGGGGCTGGGCACAGTGGATCATGCCTGTAATCCCAGCACTTTGGGAGGCCAAAGCAAGCAGATCACCTGAGGTCAGGAGTTGGAGACCAGCCTGACCAACATGGAGAAATTCTGTCTCTACTAAAAATACAAAATTAGCCAGGCTTGGTGGTGCATGCCTGTAATCCCTGCTACTCGGGAAGCTGAGGCAGGAGAATCGCTTGAACCCAGGAGGCGGAGGTTGCAGTGAGCCGAGATCATGCCATTGCACTACAGCCTGGGCAACAAGAGCAAAACTCCACCTCCACAAAAAAAAAGAGAGAATGGGTTCTGGAATCAGACTTCCTGGATCCTATTTTATTAGTTTTATAATCTCAAAAGAAGGAAATTTGCTGTCCCTTAATTTCCTCATCTGTAAAATGGAGATAATAAGTTCTATCTCATAAAGTTATTCTGCAGATTAACTTTTTATGTTTTTTTATTTTATTATTTTCTTTTTCCTTGTCTTTTTTTTTTTTTTTTTGACATGGAGTTTTGCTCATCACCTTGGCTCACTGCAACCTCCACCTCTCAGGTTCAAGCAATTCTCCTCCCTCAGCCTCCTGAGGAGCTGAGATTACAGCCATGCACCACCACATCTGGCTAATTTTTGTATTTTTAGTAGAGACAGGGTTTCACCATGTTGGTTACGCTGGTCTCGAACTCGTGACCTCAAATGATCAGCCCCCCTCAGCCTCCCAAAGTGCTGGGATTACAGATGTGAGCCACTACTCCAGGCCTATTTTGTTTTATGTTTTTGAGACGGAGTCTTGCTCTGTCCTCAGGCTGGTGTGCAGTGGCACGATCTCAGCTCACTGCAACCTCCGCCTCCCGGGTTCAAGCAATTCTTGTGCCTCAGTCTCCCAAGTAGCTGGGATTACAGGCTTCTGCCACCAGGTCCAGCTAATTTTTGTATTTTTAGTAGAGACAGTTTTACCACTTCGGACAGGCTAGTCTTGTTCTGACCTCAGGTATCCACCCGCCTTGGCCTCTCAAAGTGCTGGGATTACAGGCGTGAGCCACCATGCCCGGCCTACTTTATTTTTTAATAGAGATGAGGTCTCACCATGTTGGCCAGGTTGGTCTTGAACTCTTGGCCTCAAGCAATTCCGCCATCTCAGCCTCTCAAAGGGCTAGGATTACAGGCATGGGACACCATGCCCAGCTATTTTGCATATTAAATATTTCTGTGTAATTCTTAGCATAAAACCTGCCTGGCACACCATAAGAACACAATAAAAGCTGTTATTACTACCTAGCTAAGTACTAGGCACATAATAGGTACTAATTTTAACTTAAAAATAATACTTTATTACTACATCAACACTTGACAGTCGTGTTTCAATAACAAATGTTTCTTGACTACAACATTCACTGATCATTTCTTGTGGCTTAAAACTCTCCCAAACTTACCAATATTAGTGGCACCAGCATCCAGACTGTTTTCTACTAACTCCTTCACTGCAGTGCTTAGACTCAGTACCACCTGCCCAGAGCAAATCTGATGGACTGACTTCCGATCAATAGGTTTGATGGCCTTAGCAGGTTCTGTACTAAAGAAATCAGTTACAAGAAACAAAGCAAATATTCAGCTATATATTTTCATCCTGATTTTCACTGTGGGAAATGACTCAACACTGTAAATAGTTTATGGGTCTAATCTAATCATTTATTATATTAGCAAATACATTTATTATATCCAGAAATAGAAACACTGTTTTACAATCCTTAAACATGTACCCAAAATATTTCTGGATAGATACTTCAAATTCAACACATCCTTACTATCTAATTATACTAGGATCCACATGGAGAAAACATACATTGTATCTCTCAAATTACCAAAATCTTTGGCAACAATGGTGTCTTCTTTCTTGAAAAGTGAAACCATGACTGGCTGCCGTGACTCATGCCTGTAATCCCAGCACTTTGGGAGGCAGAGGTGGGTGGGTCACTTGAGGTCAGGAGTTCGAGACCAGCCTGGCCAACATGGTGAAATCCCATCTCTACTAAAAATACAAAAAATTAGGCAGGCATGGTGGTGGGCACCTGTAATCCCAGCTACTCAGGAGGCTGAGGCAGGAGAATCGCTTAAATCCGGGAGGCGGAAGTTGCAGTGAGCCGAGATTGCGGCATTGCACTCCAGCCTGGGCGACAGAGCAAAAAAAAAAAACAAACAAAGTGAAAGCAACATAATTTCCCACATAATTAGAAAAACCAACAGTATGCTGGGAAATACACAATGTTTAAGTCAAAATCATCTCGGAAATTGGGTACCAGTTATATAACTATTCCTTATACACAGTTGCCTTTGATACCCTACTCCAAATTGAAGCTGCCAGCTGCTGTCTCAGCAAAGACCCTCAAAGTTCTTGCTGTACGAGCTTTAAGAGTTTTATAACGGTTTCATCTCCCCTCATTCCCTGCTCCAATCCATCCTCCACTCTATCACCAGAGCTATTTTTGAAATCACAGATCTGGTCAAATAATTTTTCTGCTTAAAAATTTACAAGTGCCCCACTTCCTACTATACGAAATTTAAAATCTAGTCCTCACTGCGCCCAAAACTACCTTCTTTTCAGAATCTCTCTAATCCTTTCCCTTCATCAAGTCCCCTATATTAATATTATTATTATTATTATTTGAGACAGAGTCTCACTCTGTCGCCCAGGCTGGAATGCAATGGCATGATCTTAGCTCACTGCAACCTCCGTTTCCCAGGTTCAAGCAATTCTCCTGTCTCAGCCTCCCAAGTAGCTGGGATTACAGGCGCCCACCATCACACCCGGCTAATTTTTGTGTTTTTAGTAGAAACTGGGTTTCACCATGTTGGCCAGGCTGGTCTTGAACTCCTGACCTCAGGTGATCCGCTTGCCTCAGCCTCCCAAAGTGCTAGGATTACAGGCGTGAGCCACCGCAACCGGCCGTGCCCTACATTGTACCACACTGAACAATTGCTTCCTGAACATCACAAGCTCTTTTAGACACTAAGGTGTATAAGCAGGTCTCTGTCTAAACTGCTCTCCTCTTCCTCCTCTGCCCAACCAATGTCTGCTCATCCAAAGAATGTATCCTGTGTGTTCACTAACTTAGCAATTTCCAGTAAACAGTTTGATAACTTGTTAAGAGAAGGCAGGAAACCTCCATGAAAGAGAAATCACTGGGTATTTCCTACAGCATTTAACACATGGTAGGCCTTCAATAAACCCTTGTGAAATAAACAAACCTCTTTACTCTTCATTCTACCCTGCTAAGAATCTCACCCAAGTCTGTCTACCATGTGAAACTGCAGATGACCTCACAGAAAATGGAAAGAAGTATCTCTAAAAATAAGTTTATTTGGCAACACACTATAGGCTACAGGTCCACTTTTTCTTTTTTTTGAGACGGAGTCTTGCTGTGTCGCCCAGGCGGTACTGCAGTGGTGCAATCTCAGCTCACTGCAACCTCCGCCTCCTGGGTTCCAGAGATTCTCCTGCCTCAACCTCCCAAGTAGCTAGGATTACAGGCTCCCGCCACCATGCCCGGTTACTTTTTGTATTTTTAGTAGAAATCGTATTTCACCATGTTGGCAAGGCTGGTCATGAACTCCTGACCTCAGGATCCACCCGCCTTGGCCTCCCAAAGTGCTGGGATTACAGGGGTGAGCCACCGCGCCCGGCCCACTTCAGATATTTATTTTGAGGAGAGAGCGCATTTAGATACAGACCCCAGATTTATTTAAATGTCTCAATACATTTAAATGTAGTTAACTAAATATATCTAATATATTTAAATACAGAAAGCAAATTTGCGTTTACAAATCTGACACGGAATGCAACTGTGCTAGCCAAGATTCGGTGTAGCTTACCAGCCAGAAATCACATACCCTAACAGGCAGAAATCACATACTCTAAAAGGTAGAAATGCATTGCATTTTTTAAAACTGCGCGGCTATGCAAATTAGGATGTGTCTGGACGCTCTACCGTCCCCAAAACAACCTCAATTTTTTAAAAAAGCCAGGCACAGTGCATCACTCCTGTAATTCCAGCACTTTGGGGTGCCGAGGCGGGTGGATTGCTTGAGCTCAGGAGTTCGAGACTAGCCTGGGTAACATAGCGAAATCCCCGTCTCTACAAAAAAAAAAAATTAAAAATTAAATAATACCAAAATAAAAATAAAAGTGGAGAGAGAACAGGTAGAAAGAAAATGCATTCAGTCTATGCGGATTTCACGCTCCGGCTTCAAGTCCACGGCCCTGTGATGGGATGTGGGCAAAGCCTGTCTGGGACGGGCCGAACCCAACTCCTTACAGGGCCGAATCCTTTGCCCGCAGCCCAGGACCCCGAAGGAGCTTGCCTCGGCCTCAAGGCGCACCCAAGGGGCACCGGATCGCTCGGGCGCTGAGGTCGCTGCTCCGGGGCCTCCACGCGGCGGCTTCGCCACGCGCCTCGGCCATGTTTCCCGCATTTCCAGGGAGGCTGGAACGCCGTGGGTGTCAAAGAGGGCGCGCGAGAGGGGAGACCGCGAGCCCGGCTCACCTCGAGCTCTCAGCTCGCTCCATGGATGCAACCCCCGTTGTGCCTCGGGACTGGGAAAGTTCCCTCCACGGCTCCCACAGACGCTCCGCCTCCGGGGCTCCCATTGGCTGCTTTCGACGTTGTGCTCCACCCTTTCCGGGCGGGGCGGCAAAAATACTTCCCGTCTCTTCTTTTCGCCTATTGGTTCTGTCAAAGGTCGAGTCCATGACGTCAAAAAGCCTGAGTCAATCAGAGCACACCAGACTGCGTTTTCCTGAACGCCCGCAGCAGGGTCAGAAGGGAGGCCGCCCTCCGTCGTGGCCTCTGACGGTTTTTGAGCGTTGGTGTCTGGCACGCGCTAGCCCCTCTTGCTTTGGTTCCGCCATGCCGATGTACCAGGTAAAGCCCTATCACGGGGGTGGCGCGCCTCTCCGTGTGGAGCTTCCCACCTGCATGTACCGGCTCCCCAACGTGCACTGCAGGAGCGGCGGCCCAGCGCCCGGCGCTGGCCACGTGCAGGTAGGAGCGCGGGGTCCCCCGCCCAGTGCGCACGCGCGGCGGCCGGCTGCCGGACCGGGTCCCCACAGGCCGGAGCGAATGCATCCCATCCGCTTCACGGCCCCACCCCGCTTCTGTGCCAGCCAGCCAGGGACTCACCCAAACTTTTCCCTTTTAAAGGATTTATCCAGGCCGGGCGCTGTGGCTCACGCCTGTAATCCCAGCACTTTGGGAGGCCGAGGCTGGCGGATCACCTGAGGTTAGGAGTTCAAGACCAGCCTGGCCAACATGGTGAAACCTCGGCTCTACTAAAAATACAAAAATTAGCCGGGTGTGGTGGCAGGCACCTGTAATCCCAGCTACTCGGGAGGCTGAGGCAGGAGAATCGTTTGAACCCTGGAGGCGGGGTTTGCAGTGAGCTGAGATCGAGCCCATTGCACTCGAGCCTGGGCAACAAAAGCGAAACTGTCTCAAAAAAAGAAAAAAAAAAAATAATATATAGCTTTTACAGGTCGCGCGGGGAGCGGTTGGTTCATGCCTGGAATTCAGCGCTTTGGGAGACCAAGGTGGGAGAATCGCTTTGAGGCCCCCAAGAGTTTGAGACCAGCCTGAGCAACATGGCGAGACCCTTGTCTCTATTTTTTAAATGTTTTAATTAGGCCGGGCGCGGTGGCTCAAGCCTGTAATCCCAGCACTTTGGGAGGCCGAGACGGGCGGATCCCACGAGGTCAGTAGATCGAGACCATCCTGGCTAACGCGGTGAAACCCCGTCTCTACTAAAAATCTACGAAAACTAGCCAGGCCGAGTGGGCGGCACCTGTAGCTATACTCGGGAGGCTGAGCAGGAGAATGGCGTGAAACTCCAGGAGGCGGGGCTTGGCAGTGAGGCTGAGATCAGGCCCATGTACTCCCAGCCTGGGCGACAGAGCGGAGACTCCGTCCTCAAAAAAAAAAAAATTAATGTTTTAATTAAATATAAAAATCTGTCCTTTTTTATTATATATATTTATGGTATGGTTGCATTAAACATTTAGTTCAGAGATACTACCTTCTGAAAAAGTGAATAGCACATTAATATGCTCAATTTTACAGGAATTACAAGCGAACCCAGGGTCAGCGATGGCCCAGGTGAACACACATTGTCACCCCTCCATTCTTTCCACTCCTCAACCCTTCCCCTCCCACCGTCCCAACCCCAGTCTTGAGTTTTGTAATGGTTATTATGTTCCTGCTTGTCTTCTATTGTTTTGTCAACTCAGGTTTTATTCCGCTAAACCAATATAGTCTGGTTTTTGTTTTTTTCTTTTTTTTTTTCAGGACGGAAGTTCCCTTGCTCTGTCGCCCAGCTGGAGTGCAGTAGATGTGATCTCAGCCTCACTGCAACCCCGCCTGCCCAGGTTAAAGCAATTCTCGCGCGCCTCAGGCCTTCCTTGAGTAGCTGAGATTACAGGCACCGTCCCACTGGCCCGGCCTAATTTTGTGGTCATTTTTTAGTAGAGACGGGGTTTTCACCCATGTTGGCCAGGCTGGTCTGAATACCATGACTCCAAAGCGATGCCACCCGTCCGCTCAATCTCCAAAGTGGGCTGGGATTAACAGGCGTGAGGCCAGCTGCACCTGCCCTAATTACCAATTGAGATATATTATAAATAGTCATAACTATTATTTAAGAAGCTAACAGGGCATATAGACTGATGTTCCTGGCCTTTTTTTTTTTTTTAAAATGTGGATGGGATCTCACCCTATCTCTACCTAAAAGGTGGTTATCAAGAACGGAGGTGGTCTCGATCTCCTGGCCTCAAGTGATCCTCTAACCCCAGCCTCCCAAAGTGCTGGGACTACAAACATGAGCCACTGGTGCCCAGCCCTGGCTTCTTTTTTGTAGACATTATTTTAGGAGTCATTTTATTGTAACATCGGAAGTATTCATCTTCTCTGTAGTATACTGTTCTATTGCATGGCTCTCCACCATATACTTACCCATCCTACTTGCTCAGGGACACTGGATTGTTTTCCATTTTAACCTGCTATGAACAATTCTGTAGTGAATATTCTTACACAGAGCAGCAGGCATGGGGTATGTACTAATGAACGGGACTCCTGGCTCAGTGGCCCACCTGGCTTTCCACTCTACTAAATTGTTTTCCAGAGTTGTTATACTGGTTTACATGCTTGCTCACCGCCCACTGGCTGGGTAGAAGAATTCCTGATATTTGCACCCTGCCCAAACTGGTGGGTGTAGCGTGGTATCCTAGGGTAGTTTTAGTTTGGATTTCTCCCGACTTCTCTAAGTTGAGGACCTTTTCATATTCACTGGCCGCTGTGATTGCTCTTTTGTAATGTACCTGCTCAAGTCTTTCACTCTTTTCTCATTGCAAACATACATCCTAGGTTTCCAGCAGGAGAAACAGACCTGTCCATTCTGACACAAGATGGGTGAATCGGTAACTTTTTTGGTCTGTTTTCCCACTGCTTGTTATCCTTCTGCTTTCTTTAATGGCTTTCTGCCTAGATCAGGAGGGACGGACTTTCTTTTGAAACCCAGTAACACAACGTGTTATTTCAGTACAGAGCTAAGACAGAAATAGCAGACATGGTTCAATGGTCCCTGCACCTAGAGAGTGCCATGGAAACAGGGCCCAGTCACCCTCCAACTACACAGTCCCATGAAACCAGAAAGACAACCCAGGTTGGAGAATGTCACCTTTCATTGAAGGCCAAGTTTTGCAGAGTCTGTTTTACTTGTGTTTAAGTCTGCTGCCTAACTTCTTGTGGCCTTTTGCGAACTTACAACTTAGAGGACACGTAATCTCACTTTTCCAGCAATTTTTCTAGGAGATGATAACAATGTGTACAAATAATTAGCAATAAAACATCTTGGCCAGGCGCAGTGGTTCACGTCTTTGGGAGACCAAGGCAGGAGGATCACTTGAACCTAGGAGTTCAAAACCAATCTGGGCAACATGGTGAAACCCCATTTTTACAAAAAGTACAACACTTAGCCAGGTGTGGTAGCATGTGCCTGTAGTTCCAGCTACTCAGGAGGCTGAGGTGGGAGGATCACTTGATCCCAGGAGGTCAGGGCTGCATTGAGCTGTGATCGGCCACTGCACTCCAGCCTGGGCAACGGAGTGAAGCCCCGTCTCAAGAAAAGCAATCAAGCATCTCCAGGGTAAAGGAGAGCAACATGAAGAAAAAGCTGTTTATAAATACATATAAATTGAAACAAATTGATAAAAACAATATACCACATCACAATCTAGTCTCAGCAAGGAAAACAGCAGGCCAACATTACAAGGCACCAATGACATAAAACAGATTTTGAACATTTTGGTATTACTCAGATCATGAAGGACTAGATCAACCTGTACTCAGGGCTTAAAAATCACAAGCCACATTACACATATAGTACTTCAGACATTCTTCATTCCTGACATTCTTCATTCCTGACTGAGTTGTTTTGTTTTTGAGACGGAATCTCGCTCTGTGGCCCAGGCTGGAGTGCAGTGTCGCAATCTCGGCTCACTGCAGCCGCCGTCTCCCGGGTTCAAGCAATTCTCCTGCCTCAGCCTCGCCAGTAGCTGGGATTGCAGGTACCCGCCACCACGGCCGACCAATTTTTTGTATTTTTGGTAGAGACTGAGTTTCACCATGTTGGCCAGGCTGGTCTTGATCTCCTGACCTCAAGTGATCTGCCTGCCTTGGCCTCACAAAGTGCTGTGATTACAGGCGTGAGCCACCGCGCCCGGCCCTGACTGAGCTTTGAATCCAGTAGATGCATTTTTGGCCCTATTGGAGCAGACACCCTACTGCCATTTGTGGAAATTATACAAACAATGTACAGATATAGGTTGGTTAAGAGAGATTGGAAATATGACTCAGGACTTACCATTAAGTAACAGAATATTACACAGGTAATAGCCCTCCCTGTTACACATCTTGCTTTCAAATTTATTTTCAGTCAGCACCTAATTTTTTTTTTTTTTTTTTTTTGAGATGGAGTCGCCCTGTTGCTCAGGCTAGAGTGCAGTGGTGCGATCTCGGCTCACTGCACTCTCTACCTCCTGAGTCCAAGTGATTCTCCTGCCTCAGCCTCTGAGTAGCTGGGACTACAGGTGCCCACCACCAAGCCCAGCTAATTTTTGTGTTTCAGTAGAAATGGAGTCTCATCATGCTGTCCTCTTGAACTCCTGACCTCAAGTGATCCACCCGCCTGCCCCTTCCAAAGTGCTGAGCTTACAGGTGTGAGCCACCATGCCCGGCCAGCACCCAATAATTTAATTGGCATACTGAACTCTGTTCCACCCAGAAGTCAGTGGACTTCACATTGCTCTGCTGTTTGATCTTAAATAAGAGCAGCAGACTAGGAGAGGTGAGAAAGTGCTGATGAAGCCCGAGGGTAAATAGGAGTTAAGCAAACAAGAGAAGAGGGAAGAGCAATGCAGATAGAGGAAACGGCACGTGAAGATCCTGTGGTGCGAGCCAGCGTGGTGTTTTAGGAACTCGTAGGACAGTGTAGCTAGAGCACAGAGCAAAGGAGGAAATTGGGTGAGGTAAGGTAGCCAGAGGCCAAATGATACAAGATGTCTGTGAAGCCATGTTAAATGTTTGACATTTTATCCTAAGCACCTAGGAGGTTAGCAAG